AGTGACACCTGCGGGGGGGACAGCGGGGGTCCCTACACCACCGAGATCGAGGGCACCTGGTTTCTCACGGGGATCACCAGCTGGGGCGAGGAATGTGCCAAGCCAGGAAAATACGGCATCTACACCAGGGTCTCCAAGTACCTGAAGTGGATAAAGGAGATCACGAGGCTTACCTAACCCGTGGGAGGTTACACTGTGCTGGGGGATGGACTGGTTAGTTGAAAAGAGACCGCAGCAACTACGTGTTTTTCAGAAATCGTTAGGTTTTAATAAACATTTCTAAATGCACTAATTTCTGCTCTTGGAAGGCAAAAGTTGAGAGAACGCAGTGGAAATGTGGTAATAAGGAAATAAAAAGCCCTTTTAATTACCCATGACTGCATTCCTGAGCGCACCGGCTCCCCAAATCCCCAACGCAAAGCCTGGTGCGGCTGAGCTGGTGCACGGCTCACGCATGCCCCGGGCCAGCGTGTCACCCGCGTTGCCCACGGCTGCCAGGCAGCACCGTGGGCCAGGGGAGGCCAGCAGGCACTGGGTGCCTCAGGGACCCGCGTCCAGCATCGCCTCTGTAGCAGGGGCCCACGAGGGAGGTGAACACACAAAGCATCGCACCCACAGCGCGCTCGGCCAGATGTTTTCACCCGAGCCAGGCCAAGATGGGTCACATGCAGCAGGAAATGCTCCTCCTGCTTCAGCATGGCATAAAATTGGCTGTACAAACGACCTAAAATCTGTGTAAAACTCATCTAATGGTAGCAGCAAGCTTTATGTTAATGATTTCTGCAGAGCCTCGTTAGGATTGGAGAGAGAACTGCTTAGTGCTCACTACCCATCCTGGTGTCTGTATAGACACTGAGGCCACGTGTGCTGCTGGTGGTGATGGAGACGGAGCACTGCACTCCCCGGATGAGCCTGTGGGGTGACCCCTGAGAGCAGACGGCGTGGGACACCCCGGTCTAATTGAGTGGGTGGCAGAAACCTTGCTGGGAGATGCCTGCCCCGTGGGCGCTGGAACCAAGGCACGGCGAAAGGGAGGTGGCATCCCGGGGAAGCAGGGCAGAGGCCCTGTGCAGGGCTGCCTCCAATGGACTTAATTCAGTTCCCAACCTCAAGGGAAGGGAACGATCCCAGAGGAAGGGAGTTTTACCTCTGCTCAGCGATGGTTTGTCTCACATCTCCTTCCACGGAGAACTCCAGGGGTGCACGGGGAAGCAGCGTAGCCTTCAGGAACTGCACCCTGCGATGCCCGGCGCGGGCAGCTCGTGCACAGGCTTTGCCACACAGCAGGCCCCGCGCTCCGGCCCACGGCACATCCCGGGGCAGAACCCACTGACGGGGGTCTCCTCTCTCCCGCCCACTAAGGTGTGCCCCCCAGACCACCTCTCTCCCCGCACCACCTGCGAACGGGCTGTTGATGCCCGCTCAGCCCCCGTGCACCCACCCACCCTGCAGGCCCCAGCCCCGAGGCCCATCCTGCAGCCCGTCCCGGCGCTGGGATGCGGGAGAGGCCGGTGATGGAGACACACTGAGCTGGGGCTGGAGCTCAGTAGCTGCAATTTCAGACGTCAGTATGAGCACTAAGGTGCCTCTCCCAATTTCACTGCCGCTGCATCCAACAAGAAGCTAATCGGATCATCTGCCATTGCTTATTTTAAAATCAAAATGCGTGTGAGAAGGTTATATTTGTTCCAAAGAAATTATATAAAACCAACAGTGTGAAAATTGTTTTTTTTTTTCTCCAGAATTATAGCAGAGGTGTCTTTGGACAGAATTGCATATTCTCATACGAATTTATTTAACAAGTTTTTAATCTTTAAATATAGATTTAACACATTTTTTACAGGTACATGTACAATGTAGTCATTTAAACTTGCAGTCAGAGAAAACTCTCCACTGCAGTTTATAACAACACACACGAAGAGCCTAGTTCAACAGCAACCTTAAGGTAACACCACGTTGTGTGCAAAGTTTCAAATGTTAAAAATCTCAGACTGTACATTCAGATTTGCAGAACTTATCAATCTCATAAATTAATAAAAGCTCATATTTAAAACTATGGAAGACAAAAGAGATTAAAACCATTTAATATGCAATGTGTGCTATGTTTGAGACAAATATTTACAGTTGTACCTCAAAATGTGTACTGTTACCACAAGAATTGTTACCACTATAAACAGCCCCGACGGTAACTTAAGAGACTCTTACTTTTTCACCTAGCCAGTGCATTGTGACCCATTTTAAAGTCGATAGAAATAACCTCCAGTGACTTAAACCCCTCAGTTCAGACTCACGTTTCTGAGGGTGTAGGGGGGTTACCTGCCACACTGGCCACCGGAACTGGAGAGATGCCCACCGCTGCATGCCAGCATGGCGGGGAACCCCCCAGGCAACCACAGCCGTCAAGTACTTCCACGGCTCCTCCATACAAAAATGGTCACCAAAAAACCCACCCTAAACCCTGGTATGTTTTAACTTAACAACTTGGGATCATGTCGAAGAGCCCAGGGTTCACACCTCCAAGTCAGATCACAACGGTCCCCCTTAGTGCACAGAATAAAATGCTTCATTTTGACGGGACAGAGCAAATTCGCTACCACATGCACACTGTTAACCCTGCTCTTCGCATACACCTGCTTAAATGTCAAACCACCTGTACCCATGTTCTACAAAAGCAAAACCAGACAACGAAACACAAAATTAAGGGAAGAGTGTTCAATACTCTTTTTTCTTTCTCAAAAATTCAATAGATAGATTATCGTTAAAGATGCTGAAAAGTACGGTCTTCTCACAAGAACATCCTTAGTGCAAACATGGACGTTTAAGTGTGATTTATGGCACGTGTTCCAAAAGTACATACATTTATGTAAACTTCAACACTTGCTAGATACAGGTTTCAGCCCTGGGACACTTTGGGACCCTAAGTGATTGGCGACAACCCTGAGTTGTCAGTTTGACCTGATGCAAACCTCACTGAAATCCACGGGTCTGACTGCAATGGGCTGGAGTCAGACCCTAAGTGCACAAAGAGGATCTTTAGCGTTATTGCATCTTCGCATGTGAGCCAGCCAGATGATGCTCTTACGGAACATTACATTCACATAGCTGAAGTAGGTATTTAAGAAAAATCCATCCATAAAATCAATTAAGCAGGACATACAGCTTCTTTGTTAGTGGTTTTTGGTTGTTTGGGGGTTGGTGGTTTGGTTTTTTTTTTTTTTTGGTTTACCAAAACTCAACTCTTTTATTTGCAATCAAGTTCAACAGTTGTCAGCTAATAAGTAGGTAAAGCCTTCAACCTGTAGAGGAAATTTCAAGCATCTAAACAAAGTGTCAGGAAACTGTAGTGTACTTCTCTGATGAAACATGATGGATGTCATGGAAAAACAGCAGGTAAAATTAATAAAATACTGTACTTTCCATAGAAGAAAAAAAAAGAAAGAGCAGAGAATGGCTTCCTTTATGACTATGAGAAGCTGCTTAGGACCCCGGTCCCGTTCAGTGCAGATGAAGCTGTGGAGGTCTGTGAATGTGATGAATAGTACAGGACAACTCCAACTATTGTGCTATTTCTCTGTAACACTTAGTTGAAAGCTTCCAAAGAGCATCGAAAATAGGATGCTACTAGTTCACCCTTAATTCAAGGGGAACTAAACTTTCTCGTGTTACACAGGGCAGCATCTATAAAGTAATGAAGAATGATATTAATATTAAAGCATCTTATTCCAAGAAATACATTGTTCCCTGTAATCTATAACATAAAAAGATATAAGTGCACTCCTGCAGTTCTCCCTAAAAGCTCAACTCCCACTAGCTTCAGTGGGAGCCTTGTCTGAGGCAGGACCACAGGTTTTGACTCACTTCCATCACCTATCGCTTGATTATCACAGTGCAAACAGCCGGTATCTTCTCTCGACTCCTTATTTCGACAGCCTCAAAATGGTTTTCTGCAGTGCTACAGAGCAGCAGTTCTGCGAAGCTCGCTGCATCCCGGGCTGTACAGAGACCCTGCTTCACGATTCAAAGGCCAAACCAAACCCCAAAATAACATTACCTTTAACAGACCCTGCATAAACATGAACGCCTGCGGCTGCAACTGCTAAAGTGCGTGAGCCATAGTGCAAACAGCCGTGCTGCAGCTGCAGAACTGCACGGGGCAGCTTGAACTGAACGTAGCCAAAGCTTGCGCGTGCCAGCTTACGCCAGCCTGCAAGAGCTCGCTCACGTGCGATGCTCGCACCTGGCAGGTTCAAAGCACCTGCCTAGGGAGCCACGTCAAGCGCTGCCTCAAGCTCCCCACAGTCGAGGGGACGGGAGCAGAGGACACACGAGCTCGGGCCTTCGGGCACTACCAGCAAGGGAAACCTCTGCTCAGCGTTATGGCATGCGGAGCACACACAGGGGATCCCCATAAGGCTTAGAAGAGACAATTCGGCATATGGGGCGTTAAAATAAACTAGGAGAGGGTCTGGGATGTAGAATAGGAGACTGCAGCCTCCTTAAACCAAGCGTTTGTGCCCTGGCACAGAGCATCCTTCCATGCCTGCTCTGCACGCTCCTTCCCCTTGGGCTCAAGGCAGATTCTGCCACAGAACTTCTGCTGCTGTTTAAAAGAACTTGAAAGTTGTAGTGATATTTCCTTTATATATACAATAAGTAAAGGCATTTATCACAGCTTCTATTCTTCATTTTGATCCCCTTTTATATTCAGGCTACTCTATTTCAAGCTCCCTCTAAACGAAACCCGTCTCATGCAACCTCCGCGCAGCGAGTGGAAATCGGAAACTCGCCCTTCTCCCTGCCCAGCTCTTAAAGGTCAGGTGGAAAAAGCTGAAAATGCTTTGGCCTCATTTTGCTCTGACGTGAATATTCGGGAGCAAACAATGTTTCCTTCTGCTTGGATCTGTTTACCACTGCTGAGAGAAACGCAGAGCAGGGGGCGGCCGCGGTGCTGCCGTACACGAGCACTGTGGCACTGAAGTGAAAACGAGTCATGCATCTGCTCTGGGTTATGGCAAGGACCTGATTTTTGCCATCCCTGCTCTCCCTTTGCCATGAAGCGGGGTGCTGCAGCGCAGCTGAGAGGTGAGATGCCTTTTCCTTCACTGACACAGCTGCTGCCAGGGCTGTAAACCATCACTTTGGCACATTAGCAACCAGGGGACTTGCAGCAATGTTTT